CCACCCCCACCGCCACCACCGCCGTCGTCGTCAACCCCGCTCGCCGCGGAAGGGACACCACCGCCGCCGCCACTCGGCGAGAGGCCCGCCCCCATCGGCCGAACGAGCAGCAACGCCAAGGCCTTCGAGGAGAAGGCGCGCGCCAAGGGCCGAGCGCAGGGCCTCAAGCCGGGCGAGGTGAAGGTGCACCGGCTCGAGATCAAGCACGTCCTCTTCGACGAGCCCCCGAGCCTGGACATCGACGCGCTGGCGCAGCGGACCACCTCCATCTTCATCGACGGCGGCAGCAGTTCCCCGCGCACCGACGGTGTGGCCGCGGCACCGCCACCGATGTCCCCGTCGACGCCCGTCGCCCCGGCCGGCAACAAGGTGACGATCAGCGTGGGCGGCGCGAGTCCGGCCGGCGACATCGACTACCAGTCCGTGTCGTTCGCGAGGACATGCACGCGCGCCCCGACGACCCCCTCGACCCCGGCGACCCCGGTGCAGCCCGTCGTCATCCCCGTCGCCCACCAGAACCACTGCAGTCGTGTCGAGATCGGAGACCAAAGCGACGAGAAGCGGACGAGCACCAAGATGACTGTCAGGATCGGGCTGGCTGCGGACGCGTCGGACGTCGTCCTAAGATCGACGCCGCAATCACCTGCGACCCCGGGCACTCCGTTGACCCCGACAACCCCAGTACCCCTGGCAACCCCATCAACCCCGGCAACCCCAAAGACCCCGGCGACACCAACCCGGACAGCACCAGCGATACCGGAGCCGACTGTGGACACCCTGGTAACGCCCAGCCGGAAGCGGGTGGAGCCCAACGAGACCATCAACCTGCTGATCGCCGAGAGCGTGGACCCGGTGGACGCGGTGCGCCGCAACCTGGTGCCGCACGTGTGCGGCGGCACGTCGTCCGCCTCGGCCACGCCGACGCCGCCCTGCTCGGCCACGAGCAGCCGCAGCAACAGCTTCGACGAGTCGGACGCGGAGCACAAGCAGCTGCAGCGCAAGTCGTCGTCGTCCTCGACGGCCTCGCGGGGCAAGTCGGGCGCAGACATCATGCGCGAGGTGCTGAGCCTCCGTCACGACGCGGAGCACGCCGCCAGGACGGAGCGCGAGGAGGGCCGCTCCAAGTTCTACGTGTGGGTGGACACGGAGAACAGCGCCGAGGACGACGTGACCGTGATGGTGGGCAAGGACGACTTCAACCACTACGAGATGATCCGCGACCCCATCTACGAGGAGATCACCGACCACGACGACCACGAGGACGAGGACGTGCCGCCGCCCCTGCCGCTGTCGCCGCCGCCGCTCGAGGACAAGATGGCGTGCTGCAGGTACGTCAGCCTGGCGGCCCGCGGCCAGCCGCGCCGCTCGGCACCGGTGTGGGGCGGGCGGCCTACCCTGGGGTCGGCAGGCGCCATGGAGACTTCAACGCGGGCGGCCTGCGAAAACACGCTAACCTCTTTGTTTCTTGCCGTCAGGTCCATCTTCGAGGGCGCCTCCAAGGACGACATCCTGAGCTACCTGGTGGACGCCCGCGACCGGGGCATCGTGCCCGCCTCCTCCGAGGAGATGTACTTCGGCGGCGGCGGCTCCACGGGGCTCTGCGAGGAGGGCGACGATTCTGAGGGCTCGCAGCCGCAGCACTCGCGGCAGACGTCGCTCGACCTCACCGAGATCAGCTCGCGGGTGTCGCAGCTCAGCAACACGAGCGACTCGAGCGAGGACTCCGTCAACCTCATGGCCGCGGACGCGCACGAAGACAGTAAGGTGAGTTGGGCCGTCGGCTGTCCGTCGGCGCATCCGGCGCCCTTGAGGGCCGCCGCCCCCTTCCCTTTCACCGCGCTACCGCGCGGGTGCTACCGGAGAGGAGACAGTGTTGTCCTCTTTTACTGCCGCTTGTTTTTTCCGGGTCCGACACGACTGTTTCCGCTTATTACCTTAACGTCCAGGTGCGATGTTTTTGCCGACCGGGCATAGCAAGCGGACATGCCGGTCGCAAAGCAAGGTGCCTGCTTGATTGGTTGAGTGTGAAAACGGTTTATTTTGCTGTCGTTCTTTTCTTTCTTTTTTCCCGTTGCGTCTTTCCTGCGACATGGCGGGAGCGCCCCGCGGAGCGGCGGCCGTCTGTAAGCTTGCTAGCGAGAGTAATTTATTTGGTCCATGCGACCCGGCGGCCGCCTCGCCTCTTGGTTTTTTCAACGCCCGCGCAGAGAAAGCAGATCCGCGTCGCAGTGCGAGGGGATGACCAGGGAAATGGAGGGGGGTTGCAGTGCCATGGCGCATGAGACAAATGTCGAATTGTGAAATTTCTCCTTCATGCATGAATTACATGCATTGCATCCATTGGTAAGATCTCGATCGTGGGCCGTCCATCCAAATTTCAGGGGAATTCAAACTATTTGAAGGAACACTTTTGTATTTTTGAAATTGTTTTGTTTTTTTTTTTGTTTTTTTTTACCTTTGGCAGAATTTGCTTAGCAGCTTTTCTTCATTTCAAAAAAATATATATTTGTCCTTTTTAACTTGTTTTTTACGTGCCTATATTTCCAAGCGTGCATTCGGGGTCGTCGCGGAGGCAGACGCTTTAAAGGCCGCCTCACATGCGGCGGCGTTTACTTTTTATCTCGCGGGTGTAACGGTGACGCCGCAGTAACCCTCCTCTCTACGGCGCGACCTCGTCTGGCGCATATGGGAGATTAACCCGTTTCAGCGTTTAGCACCGTCGCACGGCTGCTCGGCTCTCTGCTCCCCCGTCGCGGGTCTTGTTCGCCGTGAAGGAGACATCTCATCCGCGCACATGGCCTGCTCCTAGACGCGCGCTCTAAACGTCTTACACTTTGAAGACGACTTTATACTACACGCGTAGACTCCGGACTACAGCAGCAGCAGCGCCGTTAGCTCCAAGGCGTGTGATGATCCTTTTTTAGTGGTGCTCATGTCGTTGTTGTTGCTGTTCCAGGTGCGCCGCGCCGCGGCCGACATCGAGCGCAACGACTCGGGCGTGGGCTCGGAGACGTCGCGGACCTCGAGGGCGCGGTGGCAGCAGCTGCCCGCCGACCAGCGCGACCAGCGCCACGGCTGCGAGGACTGCGAGATGCCCGTGGAGACGCAGGTCACCGACAGGTGAGCATGTGCGAAAAGGAAAAGGGATAGGCCTGCTGTTGCCTGCTGCTCGATAAGCACGAGAGAGTCGCACATAGCCGCGTGGCCGCCACTGCCCTTTTTGCGAGTGCGAAAATTTCTCCTCCCCCATCGTCGTCGTCGTCGTAGTCGTCGTCCTCTGCCCTTTGGGTGTCGGGAGCGCGGCTGCCGCCCCGCGCCGCCCCGCGCGCCGATGGCGATGTCCCTTTCGCTTCCGGCGTGACCTTCCCCGCACGAAGGCGATGCCCGTCGCGATCTCCTTGCCCGACCCGCCGAGCACCCAACGGGGCCTACAGCTCTACCTGCTCTACAAATTAAAGTACCCCCACCCCCTCTCTTTCACGTTCGCCTTCGTGCTTTTCCTCGCCAAGATTGTCCAAATAACAATTGAGAAAATAAGCTAGAAGAGGAGCGAGGGATAGTGGTACGTTTTCTTCTTCTGGTAGAGACAGTCTTGGGTGGGGAGTGCCTAAAAATCAAAACTGTGCGGTTAACAATTAATTAGTATGTATCACCATCATTTAGTGTATGTCACTAGTACTTTATATTGTTAGTGTGGCACTCACAGTCGCCGCGATAGTCAATCATCACATAAACCTTACACCGCGGTACTTTATCCTAGAGTAGTATAGCAGCAGCAGCATGTTGGGCGCCGGCCGGCTATATGGCGGCCGAGGCGGCCGTTCAGTGTCGCTTTAACCTTCACCTCGAGAGCCGCGAGAGTTGCTGCGGCGGGAGCGGGACGCCGCGCTTAATTGCTTTATTTGCAGAGACATAGTAAAGAGGTGCCCGGCGGCTGACCCGGTTTCTCTCCCCCTCCTGCTCCCTCTTTTTCTTTTTTTTTTTTTGTCGTGTTTGTTTTCGCTGAGCGGAAGGAGACGCGACGCCGTCGTCGCGCCTGCATTTCTCAGTCTTTGCGAATAACGTTTGGCGCGCCGTCTGCAAATAAGCAGAGCGTAGGCCGGCCTGCCCATATCGGGACGCGCGCACCGACCGACCGACCGGGCGCGCGCCCACGGCAGCGGCAGCAGCAGCTGCAGCAGCAGGGGCAACAGCAGCAGCAGCAGCAGCAGCAGCAGCAGCAGCAGCAGCAGCAGGGGCAGCAGCAGCAACATTACCAGCCGCGAGCGTCGCTGTGCTGAACGCGCGCACGGACTGTCGTGCACTCTCTGATTCTCTGATGCGAACCTGCGTGCAAAACTAGATGGGACTACAAGTAAAAACAGCGCGAGCGCGCAGCAGCGGTTGCGAGCGCGCCATACGGCCCCGCCGCCGCGGCGGGTCGTGCGTTAGAGAAAGAAAAACAATAAAATTGACGTTCTGTGGCAGGGTCGGTCCGTGCGCTGCTGCACGAAACGCCGATATCTTCCCGCTTGGCGCGCGCGCGCGTGGTCTGGTTTCGGCAATAACGCTTGATCACGCACTCGCGCACCCGTCGGGATCACGCGCTCCTTGTGGGCTGCTGCGGTCCAGGACGCCACGCTACGGCTCCTCCGAGCACACACACACAGACTTGCCTGCCCTGCCGTGTGTGTGTGTGTGTGTGTGTGTGTGTGTTTGCCGTTGTTATTCACTTTCTCCCAAAGTGCAGGACCCTCCGCGCCGGGTCGAGTCCTGCACAGGGCAGGGCGGGCGGCGCCGGGGTGCGATGGGGGAAATGGATAGAAGGGGAGAGGGTAGGGTGGTGGTGGTGGAGATAGACGGAGTCAGAGCGCGAGCAAAATCTGTAAAACTTCTCCTTGCACTTCTTTTGTTGGCCACCGGGCACCGGCCACCAGTCTTTGTGCTTGCTGCTGTCATATCGGGGTTTTACGACGAGTATAGGGGGAGTATAGAGAGGTGTTCCATAACAGGTGTTCCAAGGTTCCATGGGTGTTCCTCTATAGGGGAACCCGGAACGCACACGTCGCCTTACGACTATCGGTTCACAGCTTGACCGCAGATCGAAGCCGCGGTGGCGAGACTGTGACCGAGGGGCGGGGCGGGGCGGGCAATGAGGTGTGGGCCTGCGGTCGCCCGACCAGAGCGGAGGAGCCGCGCGACTCTCTGCGGCGCTGCTCTTGCCTTGTCCGAGGGGCGTGGTGGAGCGTGGCGGGGCCTCTTCAGATTGGTTTTGGATGGGGAGCCTTATTTTAATGACGTGTGAGTGCGTTGTTTTTGTCGTTTTGTATAAAACGTGGCCCTCGTTTCCTTAACAATTACATCCGCATCAGGGGAGGTCCAACCGACCGACCGCTTTTCTTTTTCTTTTGTTTTTGCGGCCACTCTGTAAGACATATTTTTTGATTAAAATTCAAGTTAATTTATCAAATGGTTCAAATATTTTTTTTAATAATCTCTCGGTGAATTCGTTGTTAAAAACATCATTGCGTGGGGGGTATTCCCTATTATGCTGGCACTAAGCCGCACTCCACACCCCGCCCGCCCTCGGCAGGAGTACTTACGGTCCAGAGCGAAGGGAGCACAAGTTCCCTTATCGGCGCCAGAAGCTTTGGCCGCCGCAGAGGGTTTCCGGTTATTACGGGCCCGCCCCGTCCGTCCGTCCGTACGTACCACGTACGTACGTGCGCGGGGGGGACAAAAGCCCTTGCGCCTCGCCGTGCGCCGCGCGCCCTCCTAATAGACAATGCGCCCGACCCGACATTTCACTCGCGCAGAGGGGGAAGGAATTTCTCCGTTATGCGCGCGCGCCAGGCAACAACTTGGGGAAGGAAGGAAAGGAAGGGAGCGCCGCGCGGAGAGGGGCGCGTGTTCACAAAATAAGGGCCCGGTCACGAATGTGGACCGCCGGGGCGGCGAAGGCGGGACCGCCGCCCTGCGCGCGGTCGGGGACCCCACCACCACGACGTGACGGCTGCGGCGGCGCTCTTCCAAGAGAGCGTTGACAACACTTCCCCAGAGCAGGGTTAAAAATTTTCCGGAATTTTCTCGGATTTCTTGTTTTGAGAATGCAAAAATATCTGCAGCTGAAATGAAAAAGCCCTTCTTTTTTGGTGCAAATTTGTAAAAAAAAAAAAAAAAGTTTTTTTTTTTTGCAACTGACAAATTTGTATTTGATGAAATTGTACTAGATGGAAATGGCATTAATTTGTTCCGAAGTTGTTGTTTTCTTTCTAGGAAATTACTTGTTTGTTGTTTTTCCTGTGCACCGACCCTTACCGGATTGCTTGTGTTTCAGCGGGCTCATGTTTGCGCCTCTCGTGTGCCGGAAGTGCGCCAAGCGGCGCCTGGAGCGGCGCGAGATCATCCAGGAGATCGTCGAGACGGAGGAGAAGTTTGCCGGCGACCTCCGGATTCTGCTGGACGAGTTCTACAAGCCCATGCTGGTGGCCGGTCTACTCGCCCGGGAGCAGGTAGGTTGTAGTTGCGGTCCCCCCTTCCCTCTCCCCTTGGCAGTGATGGCGCTAGCACACAGCTGTAAAAGTATATATTTTCGGCGTGGCGCTGCAAAACGCAGAGTTTTCGAAATGATAAAAATTGCGGCATTATTTTGTTGTTGTTTTGCCACTTGTTGCGTTGTTCGTACGCCACATTTGCCGGTCCGCCGCGCTCCGCGTGCCGTCACCCGGCCGCGACATGCCTCTGCCGCCGCCGTTCGCCGGCGTTGCGGTGCGAGGTGTGTTTTGGCCGTATCGAACGTGTCCCCGGCCTAGTTGTGGTGCCGCCCGGAGCCCGGACAGCCCCCCGGACCCGCTGGAAGCGCGCCAGACAGACATGCGCTGCTGCTGCTGCTGCCGGGCCATAGCAAACACCGTACCCCGCGGGACGGACCCGGCTGGTCGGGATGTGGACGAGTACTTTCATACTACACACGGCACCCAAGGCACCACTGCCACCACCACCGGCTGAAAAGAAAATGTGTCGCATAGCGAGCATTGGGCCTCCCGATTGTATAAGTAAAGTCACGCACGTCTGGTGTTGGTGCTAGCCAGGAGAGAAGCCACAGGTCCACGACAACACGCGCGCGCGGGAAACGAGTTTTCAATAGTAATTAAGATAGAGGTGCAAGTGGCTGTTGCTGCCGCTATGCCAGCCCAGCGCCAACGCCCTCTCCCCCGCCCCACCCCACCGCCGCCGACTTGTCATTTGGTTTGCAAAAGGCGGAGAGGGCGCGTAGCAGCGTGGCGTGGCGGCCGCTTAAAGTTCAAATTCATAGACAGTCGCTGCCAATAACCCCCGTTAAGGCCAACGGTCCGGGGGGACGTTTATACTCGCCTTATTAACGGTACCACTGCTGAAAATGCACTCAGAATTTTGAGAGTGACACTCTGAAAATTCTAAGTGACACTCTCAATATTCTGAGTGCTCTGT